TTTGGACAAGGTTATTGATGTTTGGAGGGCGTATTGTAAGTCTTTATACGCCAATACGGACCAGATGCCAGCGGACGCCCCGTTTGTACCTGACTGCCAGACCTCCACTTTCCATTCTCCTTCAACAGAGACACACCACACTAGTTTTGAGTCTGAACCTGACATACTTTTTTCCGAGGTGGAATTCGCTTTAAAAAGACTTAAGTTAAACAAAGCAGCAGGATATGATCTCATTACTGCAGACGTCTTGAAGCATCTTCCGGAATGTGGAGTGAAAATATTACATCGATTGTGCAATGAAATATGGCACACAGGCGTCTGGCCTGAGGATTGGAGAAAGACCATAATCATTACCTCTTCATAAGAAAGGTTCAACAAATAATTGTAACAACTACAGGCTATTAGCTCTAATATCACACGCCAGTAAGGTGATCCTCTACATACTGCAACAGCGTCTAGAAAACTTCATAAGTTGGCAAATAGCACCTGAGCAGGCTGGATTTGTAAAGGGCAGAGGTACTAGAGAACAAATCCTTAATGTACGAAACATCATAGAAAAAGCCAGAGAATACCAGATCCCGATATTTATATGTTTGTCGATTATACAAAGGCCTTTGATAATGTTAGATGGGACAAACTATGGAACATATTGACGACAATGGGTGTACCTAAACACTTGACTCACCTTATTAGCAAATCTGTATCAAGATAACCTGGCATATATTCGAATGGACGGATATCTGTCTGACAAATGCACTTTGGAGAAGGGAGTACGCCAAGGATGCGTTTTATCTCCCTTATTATTTAACATCTATTCGGAGTTCATAATGCGCAGAGTTTTGGATGGTTGGAAGGGAGGAGTAAATCCTAGGTGGTGTTAAGATATCTAACTTGCGTTTCGCAGACGACACTACACTTCTAGCCTCTACTCCAGAAGAAATTACTAAATTATTAAAAAAACTCGAGGTAGAAAGTGCTAAATTTGGACTCATGGTTAACTACAACAAAACCAAAATCATGGTTATTGATCGCCAACAACAGTTTCCTGAAACCCAAACTATTGCGGGATGTGATGTAGTCTCATCTATGATATATCTTAGAGCTCTAGTTAACAACACAGGCAGTTGTGAATCCGAAATTAGAAGACTCATTCAACTAGCAAGAGCAGCAATGAGTGAACTAAACGGGGTCTGGCGTGATCGTCACATTACTATGACAAACAAAAAGAGACTCGTTTCAACTCTGGTCTTTTCCATATTTTACTATGCATGCGAGACATGGACAGTCAAAGAATCAGATCGACGACGTATAGACGCCTTTGAAATGTGGACATGGAGACGCCTGCTTCGAATTCCATGGACGGCTCGCCGTACAAATATCTGGTTCTGGATGAAATTAAACCGGACCAGCGTCTCTCCAGTACCGTTTACTCTAGAATTTTAAAGTTCTTTGGCCATATCCATCGAAGTGATCACAAAATGGAGCGGTTGGTGGTCCAAGGAAGGCCTCAGACTCAACGCCAACGCGGAAGATCTCCACAGCGATGGGCGGACATTACTAAAAAGCTTCTCAATAAACAGTATACTGAGGCAATACATATAACTGATGACCGCGACCAGTGGAGAAATATTATCAATCAAACTGTCCGAGCTGCTGAAGCCCAATTATGAACCACAACACATCTACTAAGATGTTAATGACTGTGATGATGGTATGGCGAAACCGACGTATTAATACTGAGATTAGCGAATAATCCATAAAGCCAGTGTAAGATCAACAATGAGATATGAGAAACAAACCCCGACACGGCTATAACAAAAGTACTACCGGAAACTGGTATTGAAGAGAATTACAGGAAATACGTTGATAAATCAAACGAGGAGTAAATATATTAGAAGAAAAGGTAGCGTACAGTGTATAAACGAATGGATACTAAACATAAAAAGGAATGGAATAATCACATAAGCAGACAGGAGGAGACTCATGTGCTCAAAATAGCAAAAGATAAATTAGCGATTGGTAGAAGAAGTATCGGAAGACTGCGCAAAAGATGGAGGGACAACCTTCCATAGATGTATTAATCCACCAATGAATAAACAGAATTGTTTATAAATAGAAAGAAGAAAAATGAAGAAGACCTTTAAAATTAGAAGCAACGTTGGCTTCAAGAGCTTGGTTTTAACACTACATTGTTACGAGTTTTCGACATCCTCTCTGATGTTTTCTTTAGAGCTTCCGGTTTTATAGTCTTCTAAACTCCCATATCTCTTTACTTCATCTTCTTCTTCTTAGCCTTCTGTCGTCCATGTTTGGACATAGGCCTCTTCCAACTCCTTCCACCGGTTCTCTATCCTGAGCAACATATTTCCAATTTGTTTCCGGCTATTCTTTTAATGTCATCAACCCATCTCATCTGTGGTGTTCCTCTTAGTCGTTTACTTTCGTAAGGTCTCCAATGTTGTATTGTAGTATTCCAACGTTGGTCTTTCTGTCTAGCAGTGTGGCTCGCAAAGCTCCATTTAAGTTCGGCAATTTTTGTTGTTATGTCCTCGACTTTTGTTTTGGATCTTACCCAGTCGCTCCTCTTTTTATCTGACAGTCGTATACCTAATATTGCTCTTACCATTGTTCTTTCTGTTGTGGCTAGTTTATTCATGTTTGCATTAGCCTTGGCAAGTATCCAACTAAGTTTTCCAAATCCTGCCCATGCTAGTCTTGCTCTTCTAGTAATTTCCGCACTTTGGTTCTCTTGTCAAGTCTCAGGATTTGGCCTAGGTAGATATATTCCTGGATTTGTTCTATCTCACTGCCGTTTATAGTTATATGTCTGGGGTCATCTGTGTTTCATTATTTTTGTTTTTTTTATATTCATTTTTAGGCCGACGTATTGGGAACTGGCTGCTAGTTCCCTCAACATAATTTGCAGTTCCTCGAATGTGCTCGCTATAATCACTATGTCGTCAGCGAATCTGAGGTGGTTTAACTTGTTGTCATTAACGTTAATGCCATAGGTTGACCAATTTGTAGTCTTCTAGGGCTAGGTTGAAAAGCTTTGGCGATATTACGTCTCCTTGTATCACTCCTCTCTTAATGGGGATGGAATTTGTATTTCGTCTAGTTGTACTATCATAGTTGCATTTTCATATAGGTATATATATATATATATAATATATATATATATATATATATATTATATATATATATCTTCAATAATATCTTATTTTATATATCTTCAATAATATCTATGACACAGGCAATATCCCAAAAGATTGGCTACTTTCAGAATTTATTACCTTACCAAAGAAACAGGGAGCAAAAAAGTGCGGAGAATATAGGCTAATAAGTCTAATGAGCCATACATTAAAACTTTTTCTTAAAATTATAACATCGTAAGAATAATACAAGCTATGCGAAGAGAGAATACAAGACACACAGTTTGGATTCATGAAAGGCGTAGGTACAAGAGATGCACTGTTTAGTCTACAAGTATTATTTCAAAGATGCAGAGATATGACTTGCGATATTTACATCTGCTTTGTGGACTACCAAAAAGCATTTGATACAGTTCAACACCAAAAAATGATAGATATTCTAACAAAAGCCCAAATGGATGATAAAGATCGGCGTATAATACAAAATTTATACTGGAACCAATCAGCCACAATAAGAACGAATTTTGGAGGTGAACCAACGGAAATGATCCAGATTCTACGAGGCGTTAGACAAGGTTGTATACTTTCACCTATATTATTTAATCTATATTCAGAGAAAATATTTAGTGAAGCCTTGGAAAAATGCGAACATGGAATACTTCTAAATGGAGAACGCCTAAACAACATTCGCTATGCAGACGACACCGTTATTTTTGCAGACAGTTTGAACGGTTTACAGCAACTAATAAACAAAGTAAATGAAGTAAGTGAAAGATTTGGACTTCAAGTAAATATAACAAAAACTAAATTTATGATCATCAGCAAAAATAAAGGTAGAGACGCTCAACTACTTATCAATAATACACCAGTGGACCAAGTAAAACAGTATAACTATCTTGGAACAACAGTAAATGAACAATGGATCACTCCACAGGAAATAAAATGTAGAATAGAGACGACTAGGAGTGCATTCAATAACATGGCCAAACTCTTTAAAAAGCCACAATCTTAATCTGGAGATAAAAGTAAGGCTTCTACGATGTAATATCTTCTCAATATTGTATTACGGAGTTGAATCCTGGACACTAACTGAAGCAATGGAGAAAAAACTTGAAGCCTTCGAGATGTGGCTATACAGGCGAATTCTAAGGATATCATGGACAGACAAGATAACCAACGAGACCGTATTACGAAGAGTGAGCAAAGAAAGAGAGGTGATGTATACCATTAAAAGTGGAATATATCGGACATATAATGAGAAACAGCACTAAATACAGATTACTGAAGGTAATCCTACAGGGTAAAGTATTCGGAAAGCGAGGAATTGGGAGAAGGAGAATATCATGGTTGAAGAACCTGAGGAAATGGTTTTCCACAACAACAACGAATCTATTTAAAGCATCAGTCAATAAAATATTTATAGCCAGAATGATTGCCAATATTTGGAAAGAAAAGGCACTGAAAGAAGAAGAAGAATATATATATTATATATAATATATATATATATATATATATATATATATATATATATATATGTATATATATATTATGTATTAGTTGCCTATATCTCGAATCTATTCTACAAATTATTAATAGCTTGTTCTATGGCTCACATCTCGATACTATAAAACGCCTTTTCATAGTCGACGAACGCAAGAAATACGGGTAGTTGGTATTCATTTGTATCAGCTGGTAAATAAATATACAGTGTTGACTGGACTACTGAGCTCGATCAATAATGTTACCATGGAAATAGCGTTTCAAAACAATTCTAAGTGTTTATTACAAGTAGTTCATTATTTTTTATCAAAAAGTTAAAATTTAGTTTTGTTTATATTAATGGATCCCATGTACTTGGCTCTAAGTTTATTTCGTCGAAGGCGTTATGACAAGTGTATCGATGTTTGTAGCAGCATCCTAGATAAACAACCTTTAGATCAGGCAGCATGGTGTTTAAAAATGAGAGCTTTAACTCAAAGAGTCTACGTGGATGATCTCGAAAGCGAAGATTTTCCTGAAGAGGATTTTCTAGATGATAGTGTTCTTGCTACGGCACCGAGACCAGGAACGTCTATGAAAACTGCAATAGTTCCTTCGACAAGTGCTTTAAAGTAAGATGATCAAATATTACAAATCTTTACAAATTGTGTTTGTAAAGAACTATAAAAACTATAAAACTATAAAAATAAGTATTACGGTTTTATTTAAATTTGATATTATAAATTTTTTTTATATTATTATTATCCCAGTTATAAATAGTAATTGATATTTAATGGTGGTATTGTTGATAGATATGTGATATTTATTTCATTGTTACTACTATACATAATATACAACTCGAGTTGCGATAGTATAACAACAGTTACAACAGGAGAGTTATTATGAATAAGACGTCTACATCCAACTTAATCTACGGTTTTTAGCGAATTGATTGAATATAGTGATATTTTGCATATTATGGGAGTACTGTAGTGTACTGTATATATAGTACTGTATATTTTTTAGTTCTAGACCACGAACATCCACAGGAAGGCCAATATCAGGTGTAGCAAGACCTGGTACACAGATGCGTCCAGAGTCAGCACTAGATCGTGCTAGAACCGCTAGAACAGCAAGACCTGTTACTAACCAATCAGCCAGATCTATCAGGTTAGGAACAGCAGCCATGTTATCGCAAGCAGATGGTATGTGAGCAAAATTAATAGAATTTACATACTGGAATACATCACAAATTGTTTTTATATTTAAATATTTCATTATCATCATCTGTGACTACTGACAGCCCATAAAAGGGCATGGTAGGCCGTTGGGGTTTCTATGCTTTAAAGGTTTACATGGTGTGGAGGCAAGCCACACGCATACCTCTTCAAAAATGTTTTTTATTTAACACCGTTACTTTCTAATGTATCTTCTTTGAGAAGATCATTTCAGTGTTATGTATATTTTGCTTCTTTGACCATAGTTGACCATGTTTTCTTTCCTTTGCTGGTTTTTCCCATTACCGTATTCCTAGTTATTTTAAATTCTGTTTATAACCATCAAATCTTCTCTTTCTGGGCCTACCTCTTGAACTCTTCTCGTTTAATTATTTTTTGGGTACTGTTTTGTACCTAAATCTCAAAATCGTATAGTCTGCCGCTGCGTCCTGCTCTTGCAAAAACTTTTATGCCCCATTTATAAGGTTTATTTTTTATATATTGCTTTAGATTACTATGTTCTTTCAATGGTATTTCTCAGGTTCTATCTATTTTGCTAGACGAGACTTTCAAGTTAACGTTGACATGAAAATATGCTCGCAGTTTATCAAAACGATTACATGACATGATATCAGCTATAATATATTATATCGCATTTCTTCTGCCCAATACATTCTACACGAAGGAACACGAACAATTCCACTCAATACATGTATGTCTAAGAACTGCTCTATCCCTGCTGCATCTGTATCAATATCTTTACTGTCTTTTTGCACAGAATACAAGTTTGTCTGCTCAGCAAAATTTTGAATAATATCATTGACAAAAAACATTTTAAAATATTAGAAAGGCGTATAAATATTTTCATCAACCAAAAAATCACCACTATATTCGCTGTTTACATCAATTAAATTGTTGTCTGTCCAAGTTGGGTTTCTATGCATTTTTTCTTGGTATAACTTGTCTGTGGCTCTTTTGTAATTTCTTCAACAGTTTTTTCTTCCAAATTCGTAACTCGGGTGTTCAAGCTATCTTCAATAATATTTTCCAATAATTCTTCTATTTGAGTTTCTTCGATCATTTCTTCTTCCAAAGTCTCTTTCTCATTATCAACATCAAATTCGATATCATAGTCCTCAAGAAGATCAACTACCTCTTCCTGGGACATATTTTGCAATTCCCGTAAAGAAAGTTTGGTTTTGGTAGTTTTGAACACACGATCCCTCTAAAATAAAAAGTATATTGTAGGTACTTTTGTATTTTATTGACAGAAACAAAATTCACACGATTTTCCAATGATGTCATTTGGAGACCTCCACTGAATCCCAACGATTTCATTTTAATTCATTGATATTTATAATGTTTACATAAACAATCTTGTAAATATGAGCAAACTATAATGCAAATTATTAAATAAAAGCAATGTAAGAAACAAAATAAATTTAAAATATGTCTATATAATATTCGTATCAGTATAATCGTTTTCATCGTTCTTGGCGTGTGCGTGTAAAAACACTTGGAATAAGTTGTTTCATCTGTCTTTCCTTGTCTAAGCTCGATTCGTTTACCTCCTCCAGTGGCGGAGCAAAATGTAGCATGTCAAACGAAATAATAGTTATAAAAGAAAATTATAAATTATTTTTCATTAAATTTCTAATAACGGAATATACGTATAAATTGCGAAGAAGTATTTTTCTAGCTTGCAGTACAATAGGACAGGATATAACGAAAAGTACATTTTAAAAGGATTTTGAAATATACCCAAAAAAGTGTTAATTATTTAACCCACTTTAATTAAAAAATGATACAGATTTTTTAAGTTTTAAGCACTGTAGCGAATTCTGAACTGTTACAACGTACTGACCTTGATTAATTAGCTAATCAGTCAGCGTCTTCACTGGAACTGTCTTCATCATTGGAATCTTCCGCCAAATCGATGATAATCCTACTTTCATTTTCATCATATGTGACCATTTTTGCCCAGTCGTCCTGAATTAATTTTTCAGTATGGTTAACACAACTCGCCCACACTGCAGGTGTTGCCTCAGCTAATGCATCGCCCCAAACTTTTTTCACTGTTTCATCTCCACGTCCATGTTCTCCAATATGACGATCATAGTATTGTTTAGAAATGCCCCAGACCAACTCAATCGGATTATATTGACAGTGATATGGAGGCAATCTCAAAACCTGATGCCCATGTTCTTGGAGTAGCTCGTCTATAACGTACCTGGTATTTTGTGGTTTATTCTGGCGACAAAGACTCAATAGCTCTGTCTTGCCCGAATCGTCGTCAAAAATTATTTTTTTCGCTCGTAACCATTCTTGTAAGTCCGATTTTTTCCAACTGGCATTCGGTAACTTTTCTATTAAAGAGCTATGGTATGAGGCATTATCCATAATAATTAGAGATGGTTCCTCCAACATTGGTATCAGCTTTTCGGAGACCCACTTTTTAAAAGACTCTTTATCCATAGAATCATGATAGTCTGCACTCTTCGATTTCGTAGAAAACAGTAATCCAGCATCTTTAACAAATCCTTGCCTACTTCCGGCATGTAAAACAACAAAGCGTTTACCTGTATTTTCGTGTCCTTTTCTGATGCTTTTCACACAGTCATCTTGCCAAGTACGTTTATATGCCCCTTTTAGGAATATCCATGTTTCATCTAAAAAAACGAACTGAAGTGGGCTTGGACTTAAAAAATTTCTCATATAATGCCTCAAAAAATACAGTCGTTTGGAGACAATACATGGTTTCTCACATAGCACTCGTCTACTATTTTCTAGTTTGTATGAAAACCCACAATTTTTCATAAGACGCCACAAACTTGTATCAGAACCGTCATAGAGATGCTTGTTTCTTAATTGTGTATTTAGAACTTTAATTGTAACGTGCTCTCCTTTTGCTTTCATGCCATACAGTACATTTCTAATCTCTCCTTTTATAGTATCGCTGACATCATTAGTCTTTTTTTTGTACATTACGTGACTCTCCTGGTGTAGTAAGAGCTGCCCCTGTCTTGTATTCACTCTTTATTCTTGTCACTGTGCGAAGACTGATTTTCAAAGCGTCCGCTACTCGTTCATGTACCGATGATAACGAAAGCAAAGGTCCGTTGTTTTCTTTTTCTTTTTTAAAATACTCCAATAAATGAACTACACATTGTCGCATTTCTCCTGTTATCGTTTTTCCCGGCATTTTTTTTATTAAATAGAACAATTAGTTATTCACAACAAAAATAATAAGTAAAACTGTTCGGAACAAATTCCAACAATGACTGACTAAAATCGACTAAAACAACATAAAATATCAATGGTAATTGCTACAATTATAAACCTATTAGCCAGCTCATTCAAGAACAATGCCACAAGTCATTATTGCAATGGGTATCGGAAGAGAGAGAGAGTTAATTTATAATAAACTGGAATTTTTAAGGTGTCGAGAGTATTATTTTATGTAATGGAATTCCACACAGTAAGAGCTCAAACTATTAATTAATTAAAAACTGTTTACTTATAAAAACTATTTCATCAGCTACTTCAAACCTGCACAGATCAGGGTAACATGTTAAAAAAAAACACGTCACTGCCAGCTATCTGTATTCGTAAAGAGGCCGAACTTATCACCGACACCGTATCGGCCAAACGCATCGGTGTTATTGCTACAATACTGGGAGACGTGAGTGGTCTCTTCATTCCCTTCTCATCGCACTTTACCATGACGAACGTGACTCGCACAATTGAATTACGCATCTGTGTATCAGAGAGAGACGAATATTAAAAATTCCGTAGTAGCTTATTTCAGGCACACGCCAAGAACGATGAAAACGAGTACTAGTGACTGTAATGCCAGTGTACTCGGCAAAGTGATTCTAAAAAAGAACACACTTACCGCCTAAATATTTAGTGTTGGTATCAAGTAATCTCACGGACTATGACGCGGATGACGTGCAACGGTAAGTAAATTAGATGAAGTATACTCGTACTGTCGGGAGATGCATTTTATCCCAACAGGCGAAGGCCGTCAACCCTGTGAGTTGATTCTATATAAGAACAGCATTGCCCTAGCCGTACTGCACTTTCAGTTCACTCAATAAAAGCAGATTTTCTATATTTTTCAGGTCCGTTTATCCAAATATCACGACTGAACTTATCAAAGTATGCGAAAAATCCATGCTTAGCGAAACCCTTATTCGAATATTTATTTTATTATGACGGTGGAGTAAGAACTGCGATGGAGTTGGCTGTTCAAGCTACACAATATTGTGAGTTTAGAGACTGGTGGTGGAAAGTACAGCTGGCTAAATGCTATGTATCAGTCAATTTAATCAGAGAGGCTGAGCAACAGCTGAGAAGTGCAATCAAACAACATTATCATATAGAAACTTTCATCAGGCTGACGAGAATATATTGTAGAATAGGTATGATTCAATATTGACTTTATTGGTATTATTAAAACTCATAACAGTCACTTATATTGTCTTTATGAAACTTTGTCGAATATTACCTGCCTGTCACTTGATTTTTCTGAATCTAAATTATACCGGGAAATCTTTTTCTCAGTTATAACACTTCAGTGGGAGAGGCTATAGCGGGTAAGATGGTAAAATCTGCACTCGGCTGGATTTCTATTTGGGATAAGGCAGTCGAACTTATATACATTGCGCGTTCCGAAAAAGAAGCCACCTAGAATTTTGTAACAATTTTCAATAACTTGTTTATACAATTTTTTCTATTGTAACTAAATCCTCACAATGCAGAAACACTTTTAGCGTCTTTTAGGTACCGACAAATGGTGCCGACAGGTCAATTAAGGGTAATAAGTTTGCAGAATCGATATCAGTTTTACGACTTCGGATAATGCACGTGTTGTTTGTACCTAATTTTTCTTGTAATATGGCTATTCTGTTTTTCAAAAACCTTTCACTAGTGTACAGTTGTTCGAAAAGTAAACTTGTGCAATTTTTAAATTAAAAACTATGGCTGAGAAATTTGCTAAATCTGTTCAAATTGTTACTCTGATTGGTAATGGAATGAGTCAAAGAGAAGTGGCCAGACAGCTTGGAGTCAGTCATTGTATGGTCCAAAAAAATTACCAACGATTTTTATTTATTTATTTATACATACGAGACTTTTATTTTTTCTTCAAACGTCAAATAATGATGACATTACTTATCTAACTTGATCCTGTGAAAGTTTGATGTCTCCGTCGGCAGCAGTTTTTTTCCCATTTTCTTTACGGCGGGGGAAAAATGTTGTCATGGCAACAATATGAAACATGTCACAAAGCAACAATACAAATGTCATAAACAACAATTAAACATCATTTTTATTTATAGTAATATTAAAAGTACAATTAGTTAATGAGGCATTTTCAAAATTGAAACCGTGCAAAAATGTTCCCGACTCTTGATACGCATTGGTAATTGTTGATAATACTGATGGTCGAGAACAACTTTCAGCAGTCATTCCCGATGTTGGCGAATCATGAGGGTTTAAAATTTTTAGAGCATTATCGTTCTTATTTCTTATTGAATCCTCTATATATCTTTCGGCAACCGTGCTTGATTTCCAGCCCCCATGTCGTTTGAGGCATTCTAGATTTCCGCCTCCATCAATTAAAAGTGTTGCTGAAGTTCGTCGTAAAGAGTGACCCGTGTAAGCGCTTGCATCGTTTAAATTTAAATAACTAGCTACTTTTTGGGCTACTGCGCTGATCGAATGTATTCCCATGACGCTTCGGTAACACTTTCCATTTTGGTACTTGATAAAAAATCGGTTTTCTGTGAAATTTTCAGGCCGCAGTGATGCATACTTTTTATACAGTTTAATGTAGTTTTGACCAATTATCGTAAAAGATCTAATTTTCGTGTTTTACTGTCTAGGATTTTGATAATTATTACATTTTCTTTATCCTTAATGTCCACAGTCTTCATTTTTACCATTTCGTCGAATCGACAGGCGCCGGTAACCCCAATTAATAAAACAATCTAAAATATTTTTATAATTTAGTAGAGTATACAACATGCTTTGCAATATAATTTTTTTTTACCTTTAATTCTAAATACAATTTATCAGGCGCTTCAAACAAAAATTTATCAAACTCGTCTTTAGTGAAAACTTTAGACTTCTTTGCAGTATATCCTTCGCTTGTTTTTTTTTTTCAGAAAGGCACGTAACTTTAAAAATTTGCTTATATCCACATTTTTTCTAATAACTAACTCGGATTTTATCATAGAGTATCGTGACCACATTGTAGAAGATTTCCATTTATTTTCATTTTCCATTATATTAAAATATGCCAGTAAAACGGCCTCGGTAACTTGCCGTACTCCTCTTGTATCGGATCACTCTTGGAAGTGCTTGTACGCTAACCGATATTTTATTCTGGACTTGGAGGACCCCAACGTGCTACTGCATCATTAGCCGCGGACTCAATTTCGTTTAGGTTTTCCATTTTCGCACTAAATTTGCGCTTGCGGTTGCAACAACAATAAGCTGTCTTTAATAACGTGCAAACAACTGTCAAACAACTGTAACCAGGAGACGCAAATCCCACCGACGACTTAATTATTTTAATTTCTAACACCTAGACGACTTTGATAGTTGATAGTTAATTTCGAGTAAAAATAGCGTATGAATTGTACTATTTATGGTTGAAAATTGCTACGTTTGAAGAAAAAATAGTACAATTTATTCGGCAATGAAGCGACTTTTCTTGACTTGCCCTCTATTAAGCGCCTCACTTCGTTCGGCGCGTAATATCGGGCGCGTCAAGAAAAGTCATGCTTCTCCGCCTCATAAAGTAATATACTATTTATCTTTTTAGAAAATATTAAGTACTTACATACATTATAAACACCAAAATATTTCAATAGTATTTAAAACACTAATAATCTACAGAATAACAGTTCTCGAATTTTTTAGATCAACCCCTTTCGGCTACTGATATTGGAAAATCTGGTCTGGAGATTTTCCCAAATGATGTATCTCTGATGACAGAGCTGGGACGATTAGCAGAAAATTTAAACGATACCAGTGCTTCTGTTAAGTACTATAGAAATGTTCTAATTGAAGACGCAATAAATACCGAAGCCGTTGCTTCTGTAGGAATGTATCATTTTTATAATAACCAACCTGAGCTGGCGTTAAGATATTACAGGTAAAAATGATAATATCTTTAGTTGCAACAAATAAAACTCGCATGTAATAGAAGAGAGTGAGGCAAAATATCTACCCTAAAATTTTTTTATTTAATGACAAATGACAAAAAACAATATAATATTAAGTATAGTTTAATCAGTTAGTAACTGGGGTATAACAGAATATATTTCGTTAAATAAATTATATTCAAGTATACAGTGAGAAGAAAAATAATATTATATTTAAAAAGCTCTAAAGGGACAGTTGTATATAATGGTTCAGATAAAATGACCCCTGTAGCCTTTTGTACAAAAATGGTAATTTTTATATTTTATTTTCAAAAAACTCAATTCACATTCCTACGTCGAATGTCACGTCCTGCGTACGTCAATTCACGCGACATTTCACGTTCTGTGTCGAATGTCACGTAAATGTCACGTCCTGCGTCGAATGTCACGTTATTCACACGACATTTCACGTTCTGCGTCGAATGTCACGTCATTTCACGTGACATTTTACGTTCTGTGTCGAATGCCACATAAATGACACGTCCTACGTCGAATGTCACGTCCTGCGTCAAATGTCAAGAGACATTTCACGTTCTGTGTCGAATGTCACATACCTGTCACGTCCTGCGTCAAATTTCACGACATTTCACGTTCTGTGTTGAATGTCACATAACTGTCACGTCCTGCGTCAAATGTCACGTCCTACGTCAACGTTCTCTTAGCCACTGTACGGAAAAGAAGAAGAAGAATGTTCAAGCGAGGACATGGCTTCTGGATCCTAAATCCTAGGATTATCAGAACAAATAGCAAATCTTCTGTCTAAACATAATAATTACGGTTGCTCATAAAGGTCACAATCTTTTGAAAAGGAATTTTACAAGATTGAAAACAAAAACCCCTCTATTAAAAGATCACATGTTGTATATGAAATTCCCTGCTCGAATTGTGATGGAGTTTATATTGGATAAACCAGTCAACTACTTAATTCAAGAATACGTTCCCACAAATATGACAAAAAAAACTCAACCACCCTCACAAAACATGAAAACGAAAAAAAAACATAAATTTGATTTTGAGCAAACCAAGATCCTAAAAAGTGAACCCAACAGGAAGAAGAGAGAGCTTCTAGAGTCTATACAAATAAAAAAAATAATAATAACGCAATAAATGATAAAAAAGATGTCAAAAATTTGAACAAAATATATTTTAACTTAATTTAAATATACATAAGTCAATCTCAGAACGCCTATGATGTTAAAATAACTGATTGTTTAAACGATAAGCTAACATCAATAAACAACACATTAGATTTAAAATACATTTTACTTTTAGTGACTTAGTGGGTATGTCCTATGTTTTAATATTATTTTAATTGTGACGTCTAATTGTTAACACCAAATCTTTACATGCTTGGTAAGTCAAAAGTTTATTTTTTAAACCATATTATGTCTGTCATAGAATGTTTTTTTTAGTCAATATATATTCTTGAAAAAGGCATGGATTCCCTGCCGAAACATCGGAAAAAATATATATAAAAATGTCTTAGTATCAAACTAAAATTTTTTTTTATGAACCTAAGCCCAAGAGAATCCACTAATATATATATATATATATATATATATATATATATAATATATATATATATATATTCAATGGTTTTTATCTAAATCCAGTGATATTCCCTTTTCATATAATAAATGTATCGCGTCCCGAATTCTCACTCTATCAAACGCTTTCTTCAAATCTATCAGACACATATATGCTGGTTTGTTGTATTCCAGCGACTTTTCTTTTATTTGTCTTATTACAAAAACTGCATCCGTGCATGATCTTCCTGTCCGAAATCCTTGCTGTTCCTCTTGCAGAGATATTCGTTCGTTTATTTTTGTCGCTATTATTCTTGTTGTCAATTTGAGTGTTGTATTTAAAAGATTTATTGCTCGATAATTATTGGGGTCTCTCTTATCTCCTTTTTTGAAGAACATCACCATGATCGCACTCCTCCATTCATCTGGTATTCTGTTTGTGGTGATTATTTTATTAATAAGAAGTTGCAGTTGTTGTACAAGGTAATCACCTTCATATTTTAAGAGTTCATTTGGTATTTGATCTTCTCCTGGTGACTTTCTAGTTTTTAATTTGTTTATTCCTTCTTTCACATCGTTTTGGGAGATTTCGGTCTTTTCCTCAGTTATTATATTTGGCGTTTCTGGTAAAGGTTCTTCGTTTTGTTTTTTAAACATTTCTGTCAGGAAGGCCACCCATGTATCCTCTTGTATGTGTTCTATTTCAACTAGTTCTTTCATTTCGCTTCTTTTTTGTCTTATGACAAAAGTCCATTGTAATTAAATTAATACACAAAAAATTACATTTGGTCGGTCAGTGTAATTTATACACTTAATATTTTTTTGGTAAGCAGCATGGAAACTTGTAGCATTGCCATATGAAAGAGGTGAAGGCATAGGATATTTATAATACTGGTTGCCTATATAAATGACTAACAATGGCCATTAGTTGCACCCAGAGATATGTAAGAGAGTTACATATCTCTGGTTGCACCACAGAGTTCTATTAAATAACCTCGAGGTCAAATAATTGGAGCCTGATAGATGGCGCTACTTTTCGGAGAAAAAAAAAATAAGGGGACAAGAATTTCACAATAATTACTCTTGAATGAGTATAAGAAAATTTTGAAAGATCCCGCTTGTGTTAGCTTTATTTACAATTTTTATCATTTAATAATGAAGTTTGGGACTTCCTTTATCAACATAAAACGTTGAAGGCAAAACGTTTGTTTATGTCAAAACAATTACAAAAAAGATACGTATCCCGCGGATTTAATATTACACTTTTTAGTAAATAAATTTTAAGAAAAAAATTGTTGATTGTTGCATTTGAATATCTATTATTTGTATATACATATTACAATTATTTATGTATATTAACAAAACAATTTAGGTACGTTTTTAATACAAAGTTCAAGAATGGCTAAATAAGATATTATGTTTAGTTAGATCATGCCTTTTTGAAGTAGCATTTACTTTTTCAGTCCTCTGTTTTTCCAGTGCATAGAGTCTAACCAGCTCGATACGGTGACAACCGAAGTCTGCTACTTCAGTAGGTACCACATAAAGAGAAAACATTCCCTGAAGAAAGGTTATTTACTACAGATAAAACAATGGCATTGACTATCTCAACATTCACACATGAAAAATTTTTGAAGTCACCCGTTGAGAAGAACAAGGCTTTTTCTGTATGTTCAACAACCTGAAAAGCGTCTTTTGTAATAATCACTAACCCACCATTATTTTTTATATTTACTTCTTCTTTTTCTTCTAGTTGCATAACCATTATCGATCATTGGATATCATGTTGGCTAATATATTCGCTATCATGCAGCTTTAAATAAAGATGCAGTTGGTTTTCCGTAGCATTATCGAAGATTTTACAGCCATGATGTTCTTCTTCTACCAGATCGGCGTTTACCTTAGATCTTACACTGAACGATCAAATGTGAAAGTTCATATTTTTCAGAGTGTCTCATAATGTGACCAGCTTATTCTAGTTTACGTCTGTTTATTGTATTGACCAGTTGTGTTGTTTGGTTCAGGCGTCTAAGGAGGTCGTCATTTTTATCTCTGTCGACCCAGCTTATTCTTAGTAGTCGTCTGTATACCCACATCTCAAAGGCTTCCAAGTGTTTAAGCAATGCCTTATTTAGAGTCCACGCTTTCACTACATACACTACCACTGAGTTTCTCTACTGTGTCAGTGCGGCATCTTCGAATTTTATAAAGTCATCCTGTATATAGTTTTGTTTTTTAACTATCATATATTTAGTTTTCTTAACGTTGAGTTTTAATCCATACTGATCACGTGTTTGTTTTATTTTGTTTATTAGATTTTGAAAGTCGCTCCCGCAATTAGCCAGCACTAAGGTATCGTCGGCATATCTAATATTGTTTACGGTTATTTCTTCTTCTTTAAGTGCCATCTCCGTGACGAAAGTTGGCAATCATCGTGGCTATTCTGACTTGACATGACAGCCTTGAGCTGCAACAAAACCACTCTCTCAGGTTCTTCAACCAGGAAACGCGTCTTGTTCCTATGCTTCTCCTACCCTCTATTTTTCCTTGAATTGTGAGTCTCAAGATGTTGTATCTTTTGCTTCTCATCACATGTCCGAGATATTGCAATTTCCTTTCTTTTATTGTATTTTCCATTTCCCTCTCTCTGCCGATTCTCCTTAACACTTCATTCACTTCATTTTACGGTTACACCATCAACAATAATACCTATTGTTGTCTCCATTAGGACTTCTTTAAATATTTCTTCTGAAAACACGTTAAAGAGTAAAGGCGATAGTACATAGCCTTGTTCCACTCCTCTTTTTATATTTATTTCATCCGACAGTTCTTATTCAACTTTTATTCTTGCCACTTGATGCCAGTATTGATGTGTAATTATTCGTAAATCTTTATCGTCCAATATTTCTAGCATTTTGTTACGTCAAACCCTGCCAAAATCTTTTTCAAAATCGATTGCACATATGTATACATTTTGATTTATATCTCTTCATCTTTGGATTAGTACTTGTGTACTGAACAAGGCTTCTCTCATAACCAAGCAACTCCCTAATCTGAAATGAGTATTGATATTTCTCTTCTCTAATATCTTGTATAATATCTGCTATGTATTACTCGCAGGGCGATCTTCAAGACGTGACTCATCAGGCTTATTGTACGATAATCCCTGCGTGTCTTTGAACGATCTTTCTTGGCATTGTGCCAAATGTCGACTTAAGCCAATCAGTTGGTAATCTCCTTCGTGTCATAAATTCTGTTAAAGAGACCAAACAGTACTTTAATTCCATTTTCTAGCAAAACTTCAGTATTTCAGCACTTACTTCATCGGGGAAAAGTGCTAAGTCCACTTTGCCGTTTGTATTGCCCATGTAACCTCACTTTCTGTTATAGATGAACCTGTTACAGTAATCGATGTATAGTGTTCTAGTTTTTTATCTTCAAGTCATTCAGAAATGTAGTTTTTCCATTCTTTTAACTGCTCATTGATATATAATATTCTGTGTCCGTTTTTGTCTTCTAAACTTTGGGATAGTTGTTTCCGTTTGGTTCTGACGATCTCTTTTAATTTCTTATGCAGATGAAATATATCGCATTTTTTTGTCATATTGTTCAATTTCATTACATTCTTTACTATGAAGTTATGTTTTCGCATGTCTTATCTTCTGTTTAATTATTGCGTGGATCCTCTTGTATTCGTCTTAGCTTTATTTCTGATTTCTCTTCTTTGGTCCATAAGTCTCAGTATTTCTTCTGTCATCTACTCTTGTTTTCTTCTTGTTTTTACTGCAATTAATTTTGTTTCTTGAACAAATGATTTTTTAACACCTTCATTAACGTCTGTTTTGCTTTGCAATTTTTAGAAAGCACAAATTAAAGCAGAAATCTGAATTGTGTTCCGAAACTTTTACGGATTTATTATTAGATGTCGCTATTGCGTTCATATCGAAGCCATTTTAGTGTTGCTTCTTAAAAGACAGAAAATATTGATCTTTCACGTTGAGAACACCTATGAATAACTGTTCTGATGAGACCTCTTAGGTCGAAATACCTATCAACAGATAAATAGGCGCTATTTGCGTGAAATCAAATATTTGCTCTCTTTTTCATTTTATTCGGATCTACTCTGTACGAGTACAAGAAACCAATTCGCTAAGGATTTCTGTTTAGTTGAAAAGACATGTCGTGGAATGCAAATTTTAGATTCCCATGTCTCTTTTAACACCTTCATCAACGTCTGTTTTGCTTTGCAATTTTAAGAAAGCACAGATTAAAGCAGAAATCTGAATTGTGTTTCGAAACTATTTTACGGATTTTTTATATATCACTTCAAGCATGCTTGAAGTGATCTTCAGAGAAACCGGTGTAAGAATTACTTTGTGTCGCACTAATCCGAAGAGATCGTGTGCTTCAAAGACAGTAGACTGTTATTTCTTTCTGAGGGGTTCATGCAGAGCTGGAGAGTCCGGTAGATTCCGCCATCCTGGGCCTAGATATAGAGTTGCTGATCGGGACGCTCAGATCTAAGAGGAGAGCAGTGTTACGAATATGCATTCAGTGTGGCCCGTGTAACGGTAGCATCTCAGGCATCGAGAACCATCCATAAATCTCTCGAACGTAAGAGAACGCGTAGGCGAATTAGAGGTGGGAATGTTCTAGAATATATTAACTTTGGTATATATATATATATATAGTATGTATAGTATATATAGATATATATGTAACGATTTTAAGTAGTCAGTTAATAAGATAGTACCGAACTGTAAAGTTATAAATAAATATATTTATATAAATTCGAACCGCTCGTTTTATTTAAAAACGGTACAATAAGATAATTTTAAGGAATTTTCTGCATGCTACAATATATGGTCAGTATAGTCCGGTCGTCAGAGGGTTGACCCCTGAAAATCATACGTACAAGCTGAATTTTGCTCAGAATAATAATTATGGGACCCCAAAAAAATTCAAAAAAGTTTACCACTTTTACTCTCGGGCTTCCCCCTAAAACCTCCCTTGTAGAGGGGTAAAAACGCAAAAAATGTTTCATATAAAAAAATATAGCTGAGATAATTTTAAACAAAAATGGTTTTTAGCACTTTTTGGTTAGAATAAACCGTTCTCTCGGAAACAACGATTAAAGCGACCGTCGATTTTGAATGTCAGTTACGTGCGCGAAATCAATGTCTTCAATACAATGTGCATCAGCTTGACTGTAATAATTCGATGAATTGTTACCGTCGATCTGATACAAATTTCATTGAACATTGATTTCGCGCGGGTAACTGACATTCAAAATAAACAGCCGCTTCAAGCGTTGTTTATGAGAGAACAGTTCATTCTATATAAACATTGCTAATAAATATTTTTGTTTAAAATTATCTCAGCTACATTTTTTATTTAAAATATTTTTTTCTATGGCGTACAGATTCTTGGTAAATCGATTTTTTTGCGTTTTTACCCCCTTACGTGAGGGGGGTTAGGGGGAAGTCCGGGGGTAAAATTGTGTAAACTTTTTTGCATCATTTTGGGATGCTAAAATTAATATTCTCGGCAAAATTCAGCTTGTTCGTATGATTTTTAGAGGTTCAGTGGCATTTTCTGAGTAGTAAAACAAACTCGAATTAAGTGAAGACAGAAGTTTTATAATGAGTCTTCTTTTTTTTTCTTTTTAATCATTTTCAGTTATGTTTTAGGAGGGCTCTTGCGATGGGAGCTCATTCTTCAGAACTATATAATAATCTAGGATTGTGTTGTCTCTATTCTCAACAGCTAGACTTTACGTTACCCTATTTCCAACGGGCGGTAGATTTAGCCACGGATCCTCAAGTGAAGGCCGAAGTGTGGTATAACCTCTCTCACGTAGCGATAGTAAGTATCATTGAATACAAATTTAAAACCATTTAGAATAGAACTCTTAATAGTTTAATTTTATCTGCTTCACTCAATATGGTGATTCAGACATATGACAGACATTTTTAAGTAAAATTTTTTAAAATATTATTGTCAGAAGTTTTGAGGTTCCTTCCTGAGACGAATTGATTGGAACATGGTTCATTCGATAACATGAAATCAACTATAACTGAAGAATTTCTGTCAGAAAAATAATCTGGACTTTAAAAATATCACACAATCCATCATATTGCTTTATTATAGTAAATACTCTTATTATTGATTCCATTATTAGTTTATATTAGTTGTCTCTCAATGTTGAAACCAAATTCTATTTTGAATAGAGCTTTTAGTAATTTTTTTTACCTTTACTTTTTTATATAGTGCTAAATTTAAAGTGTATTGTTTGAAGTATGCAAAGAAGAGAGAATAAGTCTGAACCTTAACGTTGAGAAGACATACGTACCTATATACATTAAAATGAATGCATAATATATATGTTCATTGCAAGCTATTTCGGATTTAATCTTCTAGGTATAGTTGTATACAGGTCGGACTTATATACTAATACTTTTTCAGCCTTCATTTATCCAATGTTGGCCTCGACCAATTGCTTTCACGCTTTCATGAACTGTCGAGCTTAGTTACTAAACTTCTTACATTTTGAAAATAAACCCACACTCCAGGTGAAGACTGTGTTAGCTTTTTGCCATTATTCTAGGAGTATCATTTAAGTACTTAATAAATAAATTTTCTTCACATTTCCTCTCTCTTTCCTTAAGTTCACTCTTGATAGTGTTTAATGCAGTTCTCTGGTGTGGGGTGAGATCTGAATCGATAAAAATCTTTAATGATAAAAAAAAAATGATAAAAATCTTTAATGATATGTCAATAGTTTGTCTATTTCTGAGTGAATTGTCAATAAAATATCGAAAATCATTTCGAAAAAAAATTATTTTTGATCTCAGGATTACTTTTTATTAGTTGATAAACTGACACAACTGTCAACTGAGCAAGTTGGTTAAAACTACCAACTAACTCTTGTTCTTTTGTTTTCACAAAAATGACTGAGTTTCGTAACATTAAAATCATTTTAATATATTTCAGCAATAATTTTAAATCATGTCTGTTGTGAAAAAACATTTAGGCTACTCGTCAATTTGTTTGTTTTATGTTTTATATTATTAACAAAGTCAAAAATCCTGTTTCATTCGAACTCATACTGAACTTAATTTTAAAAAGATAATATAAATCAACCAATAATTTAAAACACAACATTTAAGCTTTAAAATCAAGTTATAACCTAAACATGAATAATCGTTTGAAAATGATTTGATCCTTTGATAGTGTGATGACTAGACTTCGGCAAATATGCAAATAAAAATGTAGAAAATATGCGCATAAATATGCACGTGTTTACCCGAAAATATGCAAATATTTTACAAAATATAAATAAAAATTAGCTGCTTCTAACCATGTTCCCCATCGCGTTAAAATAGGTTGTGGTGGAAGAGGAATGTTAGGTAGCATTTCTTTATAAAGTTGAATTATTATAGGAGATTTAAGAAATACTTTTTTGACACAGGATATCATGGTATTTACAAGAGGAAACTTTTTTCGTATTTCCTCTGCAACTCTGTTTAATCCATGCGCTACACAAGTAACATGTATTAAATCTGGGAAAAATATTTTTAAATTTTGTCCTGCTTTCACCATATAAGGAGCAGCATCCGATAAAATAAGCAGTAATTTATTAGAAGGAATAGTTGTCGGAAGAAAAAAAGTTGCTAATGTTTCTTGTATAAAACGCGAAATTGTTAAAGCATTTGTTTTCTCAAGTTGCTGGCATGAAATAAGATGAGATTTTGGTAAGGTATCTTCTTTAAGAACACCAATCAATAAATGAGCAATATACTTTCCTGAGGAATCAGTGGTTTCGTCTACAGATATGTAAAAATAATTATCTGCAATTTCTTCCTTAATATTAATTAACACCGACGAGTATAGCCCGTTCACATTATTTCTTCTTAGAGACCGATCACTTGGAATATTAAGTTTGCAATATTTTTTTAGAAACGAACTAAAATTTACATTTGCTAATTTTGAAAGCGGTATGTTTGCAGACACTAATTCGCGACACAAGTCTTCATTAAAAGTTTCTTGCTCATCTATTTTTTTTGAAGTAGATTGGAAACATTTAGCCATTGAAGTTTGATGTTTTCCTCCTATTTTTCCTTTTTTTGCAATGTGTGAAGCAGTTCTCACATGTTGGTCTATCTGAAATTTCTTCTCACATGCTATCTATAAATAAAAATAAAAACGTGAAAAAGACAGCAAATATTTGATTTCACGCAAACAGCGCCTTTGTATCTGTTGATACGTATTTCGACCTAATAGGTCTCATCAGAACAGATTATTCAAAGGTGTTCTCAACGTGAAAGATCAATATTTTCTGTCTTTTAAGAAGCAACAATAACATGGCTTCGGATACGGACGCACTAGCGACATCTAATTTTAACAATCGTAAAATAGTTTCGAAACACAATTCAGATTTCTGCTTTTATCTGTGCTTTCTAAAAATTGCAAAGCAAAACAGACGTTGATAAAGGTGTTAAAAGAGACGTGGGGAATCTAAAATTTGCATTCCACGACACATCTTTTCAACTAAGCAGAAATCCTTAGCGAATTGGTTTCTAGTACTCGTACAGAGTAAATCCGAAAAAAAGTGAAAAAGACAGCAAATATTTGATTTCACGCAAACAGCGCCTTTGTATCTGTTGATACGTATTTCGACCTAATAGGTCTCATCAGAACAGTTATTCAAAGGTGTTCTCAACGTGAAAGATCAATATTTTCTGTCTTTTAAGAAGCAACAATAACATGGCTTCGGATACGGACGCACTAGCGACATCTAATTTAACAATCGTAAAATAGTTTCGAAACACAATTCAGATTTCTGCTTTTATCTGTGCTTTCTAAAAATTGCAGAAATTTTAGGTCTCTCTGATGAGACCTATTAGGTAGAAATACGTATCAACAGATACAAAGGCGCTGTTTGCGTGAAATCAAATATTTGCTGTCTTTTTCACTTTTTTTCGGATTTACTCTGTACGAGTACTAGAAACCAATTCGCTAAGGATTTCTGCTTAGTTGAAAAGATGTGTCGTGGAATGCAAATTTTAGATTCCCCACGTCTCTTTTAACACCTTTATCAACGTCTGTTTTGCTTTGCAATTTTTAGAAAGCACAGATAAAAGCAGAAATCTGAATTGTGTTTCGAAACTATTTTACGATTGTTAAAAATAAAAACCTTTATTTTAACCCAACCTTTAAAATATAAAAATATACAAGGTGTTTTTTGGTTAATCAAATAACTGGTTTGGAAAAAAAAACACTCGCTAAGTGTTTTAAATGCAGTATTAATCCACAAATTAGTTTTTGTTACTAACCATTAGTACATTATATAACTTATTTTAAAATTCAACAAAAGTTTTTTTTTGTTAATTCAATTACAATAAAAATAATTGTGTTTTAGAATAGCTGACTTCATAAAAAAAAGTAAAGGTGAAAAATTTTTCTAAATACACACCATTGTATTGTACCATGGACAATTTTTTCTCACTAAAGGAAGCTATTTTTCATTTAAAAACAACCTACGAGTACTAAATTTCAAGTAAATACGTTTATTGGTTTTAAAGTTATTGTTGTTATTAACTAAAAGAATTTAATTTTTTTTAATTTTAACACCCTGTATCTCGAAAAGTAAATAAGTTTGACCCCTCATTAACTATATCGTTTTGTTCAATTTTTCGAGAAGTATCTACAGTCAAACGTTGTAAGTGTCATTTGGAAACACCCTGTATGTATGAAATATTAGATATTTAATAGAAAATATTAGATACTTACAATTTTGCCACAGAAAGAAACAGTAGATTTTTCCCATATCCATAGACAGCTCTTTATAAGGTTTAATCCAAGTTGAAGCACTGGTTGTTTTAGGCATTATAAAATCACAATCTTCCTTTTTGTTACGCACAACGAGTGTTTACGCTTTGAATATCAAAACAAAAATGATTTACAAATCTGAGCATTAAATTAAAAATGTTTATAATGTTTATAATGTTTTATAAATGTTTAGGTACCTAATTCAATAAACTGGGAGATTTTGGAAAATCCCTAAATTAGGAACAAAACTATTAGCCGTTTACCTGCTGTTAAGATACAATAAATTGTAGATAGATTTGGGGATTAGATCATAAAATGCAAATGAGCGAACCCTTAGCGATTATCCAACAACTGAATGCCTCAGTGACCGAGACTTTCTAAGAATGTTGAGGGCTACTTAAATTGATCTTCTTTAAAATTGTAAATGTTTTGTACCTGTAGAAATTACGTACTTAGATCATTTCTTGATTAAAATGACGACAAAATTTTATACAAGGATTGAAATAAATTGGTATGTTTAAAAATTTTCAAATACAGTATAAAAATCTGAACTTTTATGCACTTTATGCAAACTTTTATACAAATATGATAAAATATGAAATATTTGCATAAAATATGCACAATATGCAAAATATGCAATATGCATATTTGCCGAAGTCTAGTGATGACATTTTCTTTAAATATTCGATTTAATAATGCTTGATAAGAATATTTTAACTGATACTTCAAATATATACCATTTGCTAAAACCTTAAAATACGGCACTGGTTAGTGACAATATCAGTGAAAAATATCAAAAGGACTTCAATAAATAAGCAGCATTTTGTTTTATTTTCAGGCAGCTGGAGATGTGCAACTGGCCGTTCAGTGTTTAAATTTATGCTTAAGTTCGAATTCCACACATGCCCCTGCTTTCAACAATTTGGCAGTCCTCTATCACAAAATGGGAAAAATAAATCTAGCCAAAGCTTACCTGACATCTGCTAAAACATTGGAGCCAGATTTGATGGAGGTACAAGTCAATCTCGAGTTCTTGCAACAAGCGTAAAGCTTAATTTAGCAGGAAGTTTTTTGTTAACTAGTCAATATAGTTTGTAGATGTTTATTTAATACATTGTTAATAAAATAAATTGTTTAATAGTTATTGATGCAAAAAGTGTCAAAAAGTAAATGGTTATTGAACGCTACATGAAAAATTATCTGCAAGTCCATCAGGCCCATTTAGACAACAGGTTAATTACAATAAATACTTTTTGCATGAGTTACAAACAATATTTTTTTTTCGTATACTTCTGAACCTATTTCCCTATTGCCATTAAAGATGAAGATAGAGAAAAAGTCAAAAATGAAGCGTATATTTGAAAAACAACACTTGTCCAAAAATTAAAATTTTGGGAAATCAAGAAAAACTGCCCAGCTTAAATTTATTTCAAATCCCACTTTTACTAAGATATTCATTGCAAGGAATGTGGATATCAAAATAATTGTACAAGTTGATTTCATATTTTTATTGATATTTTAAACAAAAATCGGTTGAAACTTGAAAAATATTGAAAAATATATTGGAAAATGATTTATAATATCCTCATAAAAATAACAAAAAACAGGTGTGGCAGTCCAGTGGGACTACCGGTAGAAGTTATACTTCTATACACGCCGTTAAAAATTTATATGGGAGTGAATCTGCACAATCATTACATATGTAATGCTGTAGCATTTGCAATTCATTGATTCTTTGAAATATATTGAAATCCCCTCGTATGTGTATTAAATTGAAATCCCCTCAATAATATGCATTATAATAACGAAGAATTTTTTCAATGTTTCTTAGTTGGTATCTTTCAATTTAAAACCCAAATAATATTTCGTTCTTTTCACGTTGCCAAATCGTTAATATAAGCCATTTTATAGTTTGTTTATATTTTTTACAGATGTTACTTCCTCGGTATTTCTTTTAATGTTTTATTCGAACTGTTTGATATTGCATTTTCTAATAAAGGATTTACGGTTCAACCATCGTTTGTTTATTCTAACTTATGCGATCAATTTTTAAAGATAATTTCACCACTTTCGTTGGAGCCGCGGTGAATAGATGGTCTTCATGGTTATGTCCATGATTTGGAACAAGTCTTAAAATCAATGAAGAAACATCACACTACAATAGTAATGGGCGACTTCAATGCCAAAGTTGGCCAGGGAAGAGTGGATGGGTATGTGGGGGAATATGGTCTAGGAAATAGAAATGAACATGGTGACCTTTTGATACAATTTTGCCAGACGGAAGAATTTGTAATAGCTAATACACTTTTTAAGCTACCAAAAAGAAGATTGTATACATGGAAATCTCCCGGTGATACAACGAATAGAATAATCCGAAATCAAATTGACTTTGTCCTTATTAGACAAAGATTTCGTAATTCTATACTGTCTGCCAAAACTTACCCTGGAGTAGACATCGGTTCAGACCATAACTCCATAGTAGTCACATTACGAACCAAATTAAAACTGGTTAAAAAACCCACACAAAGTAGAATTGATATTAAGAGATTAAGGGAACCACAAAAAAAGGAACAAACTGTAAAAACTCTTACTGAAAATCTACGTAATGCTCAAGAACTGAATAAAAGTAGCTATAACATTGATCAGAAATGGGAAAATATAAAAGTAGCAATAATTAAAACAGCAAATGAAAACTTAAAACCAAAGAATAGAAAACATAAAGATTGGATGACTGAAGAAATACTACTATTAATGAATGAAAGGAAATCATTCAAAACAAAAAATCCAATTAAATATAATGAAACTGATCGATTAATAAAAAAGAGAATAAAAGAAGCTAAGGAGAGAATGTTAAGAAGAACTAGAGAAGAATTAGAGAATTAACAGGAATGAGAAAAACACTTCAAACTAGGCAACTAAGAGATGAAAGGGGTGCACTTATAACAGAAATAAACCAAAAAATGCAGAGATGGACACAATATATAGCACAACTTTTTGAAGACAACAGAAGCACCAAAAGAATTTAAGGATGATACTGGGCCTGACATTATACGAGAAGAAATTAAATATGCAATGAAACAAGCTAAAGGTGGTAAATCTCCCGGGCCTGATGAAGTTCCTATCGAATTACTTAAAATTGTGAATACTGAATCTATTGATCTTCTTTTGGATCTATTCAATACCGTATATAGAACAGGTATAATACCTAAATAATGGCTCCAACCAACATTCATACTGCTTCCCAAAAAAGCCAATGCAAAGGAGTGCAATGAACATCGCACCATAGCCTTAATGAGTCATGTCTTGAAATTGTTTTAAAAGTAATTCACAATAGAAATACATAAGAAATTAGATGAAGGCATAAGTAATACACAAATGGGATTTAGGAAAGGACTGGGAACACGAGATGCACTGTTTGCATTAAGTGTTCTTTCGCAGAGATGCTTAGATATTAATCAGGAAGTATATGCCTGTTTCATTGATTTTGAGAAGGCATTTGACAGAGTGCAGCATAATTGACTTAAAGAAATTTTGTTAAATAAAAACATAGACAGTAGAGACATTAGAATCATCTGTAACCTCTATTGGAATCAAACAGCAAAAGTGAAAGTTGAAAACGAACTGACCAAGGATATCCAGATTCGCCGTGGGGTCCGTCAAGGGTGTATTTTATCACCCTTGTTATTCAATTTATACAGTGAAGCCATCTCAGAATTAGCGCTTGCCGAGATCAGTGAGGGCCTTATAATAAACGGTGAGCCACTTAATAACATAAGATATGCTGACGACACCGTCCTTCTGGCAGGAACACTAGAAGAACTGCAACACCTTGCTGAACAACTAAATATATATTGCAACGATTATGGACTAAAAATCAATTTGAAGAAAACCAAGTTCATGGTATTTACAAAAGCACAAAACATCAAAGTTAAGCTAGTACTAGATAATACAGAAATTGAACAAATATCTTCGTACAAATACCTTGGAGCATGGATCACAGAAGATACTGATCAGACAAAAGAAATAAGATGCTGCATTGAAATTGCGCGGTCAACTTTTAATAGAATGAGAAAACTTTTTTGTAATCGCGATATCAATATATCGCTCCGGATAAGAATGCTTCGATGTTATATTTTTTCTACCCTTTTGCATGGAGTTGAAGCTTGGACACTTAAAAAATCCAACATTAAAAACCTAGAAGCATTCGAAATGTGGTGTTACCGACGTATTTTGAAAATATCATGGATGGATCGCAAAACAAACGAACAAGTTCTCGAACAACTAGGAAAACAATGCGAAGTTTTAAATTCCATAAAAATCAGGAAATTGGAATACTTGGGGCACATAATGAGAGGTGAAAAGTACGAACTACTAAGGAATATAATGCAGGGCAAAATCAAAGGTAGAAGAAGCGTAGGAAGACGTAAAATCTCGTGGCTACGCAATCTCCGTGAATGGTTTGGATGCAGGAACTATTCAGGCGAGTATCCAATAAAATTATAATTGCCAGAATGATTTCCAATCTCCGATAGGAGTGGAACTTGAAGAAGAAGAAGAATGGTTATGTTCAAATTTTTCGTCGAATTTGTAAAGTTTTCTGTTTTCGTCTCTTTTCATGAAGAATTTGTAATGTCCTTTTGTTCTTCGTTATGGAAAATATTGGAAAAATGTTCTTCGTGTTTTTTGAAAGACCAGATGGTAAAAGATCAGTAGGCCGACCGAGAAAAAGATGGAAGGATTATGTTGAATAAAATGAAGCCGATTTATCTAGAATTGGGGTACAACAATGGGAAATAGAAGCGCAAGATTGTAGAGGATGGAGGGCGATAGTTGTTGCGGCGAAGACTCACCCCGAGTTGTAAAGCCAGTAAAGAAGAAGAAGAAGATTTGGTATGCGTGATTTATGTATGTATTATTTTTGAATGTTACAACTGTCCCCTATTCGTGATAGAACCGCCTCTGATATGGGGTCGGTTGTACCAATCGCACACACTTATTTAAAAGACATACCTATTCGCTCCAAACTGTTTTACTTAAGCTACTGGATTTGACATCAACTTAAAGACAAATAAATATGCCTTCACATCAAAGGCTTCCGACCACACTACAAAAAAGGGCTACATTTTCTAACAGTAAATTATAGACACAATCAAACATAAAGAATGTTATGATAATAAACAGCAAATAATTAGTTCTGCTGAAATTGTAATTTTAACCCTTTAAAAACCTAATTGAAATATGAAATACTGTAATTATAAAAACATTTCTGACAATAAAAATATTTAGGTAACTTAAACAATCTAAAAAGGGAATCCAATCTGTTGTATATCAAACTCAGCATCATCGTCCAAATAAATTGGCGCGTTAAGATCTTATTGGTCCGATTTATCATACATAAGAAATGCAGCTATACAGCAAAACTAAGTTAAAATTCATCAACAAACTCCTGTTTTTCAAAACAAGTTAGTGATTTTAAATGTCATGCCTTGATCATTTTTTTACAATTTAGTGTTAAAATTTGTACATACACGCGAGCGTACCCAATGCGAGGCTATTTTCATTTTCTCCTCTCACTGAGGAATGTAACCTCCAAACAGGTATCAAACACACCTGAGTTTAGTATATTCCCCGGCATAAATTCCGAAGCTCCAAGCATGATCTTAACGCTCTGACATGCAGTGAGTTTGCCGTTCCGAATGTACCTCTCAATCGCGCAACAATCGAGTAGGCAGCGTTGGAAGTACCAGTGCTGTGGCGTCGAGTGTTTGCTTGGTCCACTGCATTCCAATGATATTGTACCTGACCGCTGCAGAGTTGAAATAGGGAATTTAGTTGAAGAATACCTTTGCCGGCTGACGGGATAAGTCTTTTTAAGTTTTCAAAACACGTGGATGCGTGCTTGGCTCTGTAGTGTGAGATAGTGCAGTGAGTGTTGTTTTGGTTACTTTCCAACTTGTGACTGAATTTTCTTTTTGGATTTCTATTTAACGAATTAGTTATGCGCAACCAGCTAGAATATTTTCTGCAAATTAACATCAACACATGGTA